AAACCATGCAAGCCACTATTGTTCCAACATGTGACTTTGCTATTTTACAAGCGTTAATACGAATAGCTATAGCGATCTGACACTTTTATTTATAGCGATTTGATAAGCACACATTCGTTCATTTTTATACAGGTGATGTTGTGTCATTAGCAGAGATACACGATTGAACATTGGCTGAATTGAACTGTCAATAGACAATCAATCGAGTTGTCAACAGAATTGTCAACGGAATGGAAACTATTCAAGTTTCAATTCATGTTGTTGAGATTTTTAGCGAAGAAACATGATATTTTTTCATCTGTTTTGATTTTTCTGAGGAAATGTTTTTTTTGAGCAAACAAAGGGAAAGTTCGCGAAATTCGTGACAAATTTTTGCAAGGTTTTGGTTTTAAAGATATATAAAGATATATTTAAGTTTATATTCATTATGATAAGTGGGAAGGACAATGAAGAAATTGAAAATTTGATTGAATGAATCATAGGTCGAGGGAAAGAACTTGAACGATTAGCTTAGCAGATCCTACAAAATTGTCGAGCTAAGCATCTACGAATATATGATCTTGGGAATGTCTCTATGATGAGATAGGTTATTTGGAAAGTTTGGTGCTGTAAAATATAAAATGAGACTGCTATTCTTCAGCGAATGACGGAGAATCGGTGTGACTCAAATCGGTACAACTCAATAATCTTTTTTTTTTGAGTCCACTGACAAGCCCTAGTTAATTTCTAATTTGCTCTTGTTTTGGAGAATGATACTCGAGTTTCATCGACATTTCCGAATCAATTTCTGATAATCATAAAGCTGAAAAACTTATCCATCAACCGATGCGTCTACGATCCGCATGAAAACATGAACGATCTCATACTGAATTCTTCAGATTCGTGAATCCATTTCATCTTCATTAATCTAATGAGAGGAATTAAAACATACGGTGCATTCTGCAAACCGAAAATCTGAATCGCAATGCATCATTTTCACCACATTTTCACATTTGCTTAAACTTCAACCCTTTCCTCAGTTGGCTTTCAAGTGCTAGTAATATTTTGATCAGCGTTTTCTAATCTATATGATCATATGATTGTAACATATGAAGCTTTAGTAATGATTAATTTTGGAATCATTCGACAGTATTTCTTGGTTACCACTTTGAAAAATTACCCGTAAATACTTGTGAATATAAAGAATGATCTTATGACTTGTCATGTGCCTTTCGTTGCTGTCAATAGGAAAAAAATGAAAGAACAGGTGAAGATGTGAAGTAGTCGAATGCTGATCAGTGCTCACTGATTAATGATAATGTGAACTGATAAGATGAGAAACTTTATTAGACACTCTTGTTTTTTGTGAGAACTATGAGATTGTTTGCGTGTTCAAATGTCAGCAATCCTTTAGAAAGAAAATAGATTCGATCGTTTAAAATTCTAATATTAGATCGATATTATCAATACTTAATTATGTTCAGAAGTTTGTTTCGAGCCTTCGTTGAAGAGCTGAGCTTAATTTTAAATTCTATATTACATAATAACAGCAGCAACAGTTTCTGAATCTTTCATACACGTTCTCGAATCTGTTATTTTCATTACGAACTGCTAATCCTAACAACTGGAAGAAATTAACTGCTGCTTTGATTAGCCGAGGTGATGTAAAATTTCTGCATTATATAATACGTAAACATTTAGCTTTTGAACAATTCTGTGCGTTGTGGCAAATCGTTTTACGTACATCAGTCACACTGGAATTTCGATTCCTCTGTGAAGTGTGAGTTGAATAAATGTGCAGAGTGAAGATTCTCGAGAGAATTATAAATGAGAGCGATTCAGTGGTGCATCTGAAATGAATGAGAAAAGTGCGGTGACACTGTGCAGCGGTAGTGCAATGTGCAGAATGAGGACTGAGAGTAATGCGACATCGTGCGAATTGGTCATGAAAATTGAAAAAATACAGTCAGCAACGAATAGAGTGCAGTCGAATAGCGTTCGTTGAAGGCAACAAACCAGAACGTATCCATGCATTACGTACTCACATACACGACTGTACTCTCGCAATGTTTTGTCGATTTTTATGTCAGATTTCCATGATGTCTCGACATTCTCATTGCTGAGCATTGCTTCGCCGTTATATTGAAGCAATTTTCTCATTCACTTCAGACGTATCACTGATTCGCTCTCATTCATAATTCTCGTAATGATTTGTATTCTATTCTTTTCTTAAGCTTGTTATTCCAGTGCGGTGACATTTATAATGCTAACGAATCGTGTGGAGCAGTTTGGCAGAATAGGACAAACTTGTATCCGAATAAGAATACATCAGTTCTTGCAGATTTTGCACATTACAACGGATAATACGTGAACCGTTTCATGATTCGACTTGTTTTTTTTTTAATTTCTAGTTTCATATTGCTGATCTGATAATTGCTAGATAATACATATTAATATTAACGAGTTACCGCTCCATTTCTTAAAATTTCGGCTCCAGCAGTTGCTTACGTTTGCAAAGTAATTTTTTGTTCCATATAAAGTTTATTTATTTCGCAAAATTATTTCAGTTTATCGTCACGAATTACAATCATAAGCAGTGGAAGAAAAGCAGAAACAGATAATCAGATACTAGGCAACATTTGTAGTAGTAGACTCTGAAGTATTTCTGCGAAAAGGAAACAAAACATTGACTTGAGCAGGAGAATTGTAGGACACAAGGCGAATTTATCGAAGTCAACTAAATTAGCCGGATCAGTGTGCTTGTAAAGGGATGTCGAATGTGGGAATTCTAGAATTTCATTGAAAATGGTGCGAAATTCTAAAATTTAAGTGAAAATGATGTGGGAATTCTAAAATTTACACTTTTGATATTCAAACTAAGACAAATAATCATATTCTAACAAAAACACAAGTTTCTGATCGTAAGCAAAACATTCCTTTTCAAGCATTTCAGCAGAACATATCATAGCCAACAACTATGGCAGAATTTTTTTATTATTTTCATTATTAATCATTATTTTTATCATTGACCAAATCCTTGTTAACATTATCACTATCGATTACCATTATCACGATTGTAATTCGTAGCAAAACAGTTATTTCATTGTTTTTGACACTTTTTCATAATTATTACTGTTGTCGTTATCATTAATGATAATTTTTTAATCAATCTCGTCAATATTATTTTCGTTGTTGTTATTATTGTTATCGTGGTTATTATTCATCATATTAACATTGCTAATCATATTGTTGTTGGTATTATTACCACTCGGTCTAACAAGTTTCTCAATAATAGGATGGCTATCAATTCTGGTCAAGTAAACAGCCGATCGTCGCATGCTCATCGAAGGCAGAGGCAGCCACGCATCTGCTCTAAAGTCGAACTGTTCCACCTCGGAGATGGTACCAACTGCACCCGCATACCCTCCAGCTACGACAATTTGATCATTCAGTGTTTCGATACCAAAATTCGATCTGAAATTTTATTTTCTAATGAAATGTGAATGATAAAAATCACAAAATGTAAATACCAATGAGAGCAGTAATGATTTCAATCATGGTATCAATACAAGCATTGCATTTCACTCGGATAGCATTCATTGAATTCTAAACTTTCAGTGAAAGTGGAATATCAGAAATTTTTAGCTGTTTCATTAAATCTCTCAATGAAATATTCATTTTTGCAGATCCGCGATAGATTAAACTGACTGTATCTTCTGATCAGAACTGTAAAATTATTTTTAATCACTACGTTTGATCGTTAAGTTGCTGAGGTATTATGTGAGCACTGTTATAGTCTTATCGTAATACTCGTGACCGCTTTGTTGATTATTGTTGAATAAAAATATTAAGTGCTAAAAATCAACTGTCAAACAATTGTATTGCAGCTGCAGTTGTCAATCACAACAATTTCGTAAAAACTGAAGGAAAATATAATTTTTGGTTTGTTATCGTTCGTTATTATTTATTGAATTGACGCAATAAAGACTGATGTTGCAGCTGAACATATCATAGTCAGCACACCAAAGCATACACCATTCTTTAAATTCTGTTCTTTGTGTCGAAGAAGTTTCACGTGCAGTGAAGTAAATCAAATAAATCATTAAAAATGAACCTCGGATTGCTCATTGGTCGCAAAGAATGCCAATGTCCTTCTCGTAAATCAATAAATTCACATGAGTTCAACCGAACTGATCCGTCGAAACCACCACATACACAAAGTGCCCCTTCCACAACTGCTGCTCGAACTCCGGAGCGCTTAATTTATCAAAAAATGAAAGAGTATCCGGAAAATTGCTGAAATAACCTCGGAATACCGATAGGAACTATGAATTCATGTGGTATACATTTATTTTATGCGAAATCATCAACAATCATCCCTATTTTAGTTTCAGATCTCTTTGATATAGCAAGAGGAATGTGATTCCCTCAATTTGGGTGAAACAAGATGGTATTGTGAATGAGCTAGTTCATTTCATTTCATATTCTGTAGTAAAGAGAAGCAGAGAATGAAAATAGAAAAGAGTGCGAGAAGTGAGAGAAATATAGAATGAGAGCACTAAATAATATGCAAAATTTCAGTTTCCACCCATCAACTCTTCTCAAAAATGTGATTTTTATCAGGAAATGGTTCCGACGAATGTTTCAGAAGCTTTGTTCGAATAGGGGACAGGAGCGTATCCTGTGAGATTGGAGGATATTCCCCTAAATTCCCTTTTTCTGACATTCATCCGTGACGATTTGATAAAATAAACTTTGCAAGTTTTAAATATGACTGATGCTGATTCCCCTCTATGATAATCAATTTGAATGTATCTGACACGCACCCGACTCCTCATATTTTGTTTCAACGTGATCCACTTATCGCATCCAGCATCATATTCCTCAACCGTCGAATGACAACTCGTCCCGTCGAACCCACCGATCGCATAGATTTTATCATCATTGACTATGCAATGACCGTCACTCCTTAAAATAATTTATCACCATCACTATCATTTTCATCACCGGCATTATTATTATTGAAAACTGTCAATTTTGATACATTGCCACCGTTCAGGTTTACTTCTTCTTAAACACCGGTGACATCCTCAGGTTCGTTGATGTTATCAGTCTCATTTGATATTTATTGTAGTTATGAGCAACTCAGACCTTAGAGTTAGTTTATTAAAGGTAAAACCTAGACTACAGCTGAACTGCACTTATCAGTGTCCTTATCATGGCTTCTGGATTAGCATAATTCCTTATCATTGCTGGCACTATCTCATCATTATCAGCAGCTATATAACTGTCATCAGCGTTTCTGCTAGGATCATTTCCTTCATACAGTGTGTTGCGGAGATCGGGGAACTTCGGGGATCCCATCTCCGACTCTCCGATTTGAACGTCTCACCTTTTAACACTCATTTCGGCGATACGTCTCCATTGATTTGTGGGAATATTCAAGATTTCAGCGCTTTTCAATCGGTCGTGATTGTCATAACCTCCTAACGCAACAATTTGATTTTCATTCAATCGTGCACAAGCCACATAACAGCGTTGGTC